AAAGAATAAACAAATGGGATCTCATCAAAATAAAAAGCTTCTGCGTGGCTAAAGAAAACAGTATTAAATTAGCAAGACAACCAACTGTATGGGAAAGCATATTTGCCAATGATACCTCAGACAAAGGTTTAATCTCCAAAATATACAAAGAACTTACACGACTCCACTCTAAGAAGACACCCAACCCAATTAAAAAATGGGAAAAGGACTTGAACAAACACTTCTCCAAGGAGGACATACAGAACATTCAGAAACACATGAAGACATGCTCAATATCGTTAGCTATCAGAGAGATGCAAATTAAAACCACAATGAGACACCACTTTACACCAGTCAGGATGGCTATCATAAACAAAGCAACAAACAACAAATGTTGGAGAGGTTGTGGGAAAAAGGGGTCCTTAGTTCACTGTTGGTGGGATTGCAGACTGGTACAACCATTATGGAAAACAGTATGGAATTTTCTCAGAAAAATAAAAATCGACCTGCGTTTTGACCCAGCAATTCCACTGCTAGGATTATATCCTAAGAATCCTAAAACATCAATATCAAAGAACCTATGCACCACAATGTTCATAGCAGCACAATTTACAATAGCCAAGAGTTGGAAGCAACCTAGGTGCCCATCAGTAAATGAATGGATCAAAAAATTGTGGTACATATACACAATGGAATTCTATGCTGCAGAGAGAAAGAAGGAGCTACTACCTTTTGCAACAACATGGATGGAACTGGAAAGCATTATGCTGAGTGAAATAGGCCAGGTGCTGAAAGACAAATACCATATGATCTCACCTTTAACAGGAAGCTAAACAACAAAACAAATAAGCAAGCAGAAAAAAAAACAAAGACACTGAAATAGAGAACAAGGGGATAGTGACCAGAGGGGAGAAGGAAGGGAAATTAAGTAAAAAAAGGGGGGAGGGATTGGGAGGAACAAATAGGAAGGACACAGGGACGAGAACTAAGGGGGGGTGGAAATGGGAGGGAGGTGGGGAGCAAGGGGCGGGGGAGGCTGGGATGGGAAAAATAGACAAAAAACTGTACTTGAAAAATAACTAAATAAAATTAATTATAAAAAAAAGAAAAAAGATCTGTTCCTTCCAGTGCTGATTACTGAGTCACAGGCTAAGGCACAATTCGGACAGCCCCCTGTCTGCTCTGTTACAATAGAACTTATGACAACCACAAAATTATAAAACTAATTCTACCAATCATTTTATGAAAATTTCTTACTCAAAAATCCTATCTTTTAGTTTTGATATCTCTTTCTCAAATTCAAGTTTTGAAAAAAATTCAGTATATTTAATACTATTCTCTGCTCAATTCTGTTTTTTTACTTTTTTTATATTTTCTTAAGAAAACATATTCTATTTAATATAAAGATTGCTGGGTTTCCTTTCCCCCAAGGAGTGTGATGTAAAGTTTTAATGACCATTGTTACATGCCTTAAACATACAGTATTGTTTTCATGTAAATATAGCTTTTTTTAATCCTCACCCAGGGGTATATTTTTTCATTGCTTTTTAGAGAGACAGGGAGAGAGAGAGAAAGGGAGAGAGAGAAATACCAGTTCAAGAGAGAAGCATCAATTGCTTGCCTCCTGTACGAGCCTGGACCAGGATCATGTGTGCCCAGACTGGGGACTGTACACACCCCAGACCTGGAATCAAACCTGCAATCTAGGTATGTGCCCCGGCTGGGAGTCAAATCCTAACCTTTCGGTTACAGGACAGGATGATGCTCCAACCAACTGAGCCACACCAGCCAGGCTTGTAAAAGTAGTTTTAAAAAATTCTCTCTAGTTGAAGCAGCTATATAATAGTAAGGTAATTTTAAGACAGTTATCTCTTAACTCCACTATTCTAACATAACTCATTTCACCCAATATGTATATAACTTTATATAGCTGTGATTGTAATACATATATAGTTTTGGAATCTGCTGTTTTAACCTCATGTTATTTCATAAACATATTTCCACATCATTACATAACCTTCATATTTATCATTGTAAATGTCTGTATATCATTCCTTTGAGTCACCATAATTTTTTCACTACCTTATCACTAAGGTTGTTTCCAGTTTTTTGCTGTTATTTTTTGGTATTCCAGTGAATATCATGGTTCAAATACTTCTCTGTGTGGAACTTCACTGTTCTTTGGAGTTACTTTGTGACAATAAATTCCCAGAGGGGCAATACATAGGTCAAACAGTGTAAACTGTTCTTTTCCCTTGGGTAGTGGTAGTGGTGGCTGTTGTTAAATGCCTGATTATTTTCACCTCATTTGTTAGTTGTTTCTATGCTTAAATTCTATTGCAGTTGTATTTATTACTTATAAACTTGAGTGATTCTTATTGCTGTCTGTTGGGGTTTGGTATACATGAATTAGACGTCTCTGATATAAAAACTGCCATAAAGCTGCAGGTCTGCAGGAAGTCCCATAAATACAGTAGGAACATTTTATGGTGTCGGTGGGGCTTCTGTGACTGTACAGTGGAAAATCTGTTCTGCGATGGCTTCGGGTGTAATGTTACCCGCACTTAGCAGTTAAGAAAATGAAGTGACATAAAGAACAGTGTAAGGGAGTTAGTTAGAGCAATTTAAGAAATAACTAAATCTACTAAATACTCAGGATGAAACAGGTTAAACTAACAGTTTAAAACACGCTTAAAGCTAAAGACCACGTACGCTCTCATTGTCTCAGAGCTTGATTCTTTACAGGGAAATCGTTTTCTATATGTTGTAGAGGGTTACAGAAGAGACTTATCCCCAGCCTTAATAATAATACCTTTTAAATAAATGATTTGTTCTTTTTAATAATATTCTATATTCAGAAGGGGAATAGTAGGTCTACAGTTGTGAGTACATGAAACAGAGTTTACTCTTATTGTTATTTATTAATAACTGTAGTATTTTTCATGTGAACAACTGTAAACCTACTTTTGCCCCACCCTGTATATTTATATATACAGAACAGTAAGTATATAGTTACCAGCTCAGAGTTATTTATGGGATTGTTCATATGTATTAAAGTAAGTCAAAACAAAATCTATTCTAATCTTACTAAAGCAAGTGGCAAAGCTGCTTAATGATTATTTGGGTTATAAAAAATTAGGTTTTATTTAAAATAATGTTGGTTAAAGTTTCATCTGTGAAACTGAGTTTTACATTTTATCATTTGCTTTTCCAGGGGACTTCATTGTACCAATTTTCATTCTTTGTAAAGAAAGCAGTTTCTTACCTTTCATGGGTGTATTTATAGGTGGTTCACTGGAATACACCCTCTCATATCTGATTGCACACATATTACTTAAAATAGTACCAAGTTTATCATCATTCTACCCAAACCAACTCCATATTCTGTCATTGTTACCCCTAGTTTCTTTTTTTTAAATCCCCATCCAAGGATATATTTGTAGATTTTTTTTTAGACAGACAGACAGACAGGCATTGATGGGAGAAATATCAGTTCTAGGTATGTGCCCTGACCAGGGATCGAACCCGCAACATTGTGGTGCACAGGACCATGCTCCAACCAACTGAGCCACCTGGCCAGGGTCCCAGTTTTCTTGATACTCAGTTTTGAGACCTTGAATTCATTTCTGACTCTTCTTATTCTACTCCTGCAACATCTATTTAATCTCCAGGACATAACAGGTTTTTTTCACAGTGTCTCTGCTTCCACTCTTCCTTTCTGTTTTCCATTGCTGCCATCTTAGTCCGGGAACTCATTACTCCCAGATCACTGCCACAGTCTTCTAATTGGCCTCCCTCCAGTCCCTCTTCCATAAATTGTTCTTGCACACTACTAAGCTGTTCACACTTGAGGTCCTCTGATTCTGGCCACACCCAGCTCCTAACTTCATCTGCAATTATACCCAAGAGAACCAATCAAAATGAGTTTTTTTATTGTTTCCTGTATAAACCGTCTATACCCTTGACTTCATACACATATCAGTTAGTTTTTATCAGTCACCATAATGATGCATATCAGGAATTTGATCATTTACCCCTTTCTCCTCAATGAGATAGCTACAGGTATCATGCGATATTAATGTTAGTGATTTTTTTACAATTATCAATCAGCTCTGTAGAACTTGAATTTTTTAGTATGTGATTTCTTTATTGCTTAGAAAAAAAATGGTTTATTCCAGGAAATCACATCACTCACTATAGTTTTACCCATTGCAAAAAGGAAATAAAAACTTTGTAAAAACAAAATTAAAAAGTCACCTCTTTGTAAAAAAATTCTGCTTTTATTCCAAGAAAGACATTGCTTGTGTGTGTGGCAGAAAATAAATTCTCTTCTCGTATAGTGAAAGTAAATTCTGAGGAAAATGCCAGGTCTTAGGAAGGTGGCCCTTTTATATGCTATATCAAGTAGTCTATACTTTAATTATAAATGAAACCAATTATAGAATTAAGGCAGCCAATAAGAAAAGTCTGAAGTTACTTTAAAAACTGAGGGTAAGTGCAAAATATTTTACAACTATTGGAAAAAGAGCATTCAAAAACTATAAAGAATACCTTGTGCCCTGGCTGGTGTGGGGGACTAATTGATGTTTCTCTCCATCTCTCCTTCCCTTCCCCTCTAAAGATAAATAAATAAAATATTAAAAAAAAAAAAAGAATACCTTGTTAATAAATTAACAAAAAAGCAAATGGATTTAGCTGTAGAGTAAAATACGATAAACCACGCCAGCATACAGATAACCACACGCCATAATACTGCTTCCAGGACACTCAGCAATTATGTCCAAAAGGTGATTTGGGGCTTGTAACACAACCAGATTTAGACAAAGAAACCTTAAGAGTTCAGGGTTGTACCAGCACTTATCAGAAGGAACATCTGATACAAAATATATTCAGTCATCATGGAATTAATTTGTATTATTTGTCTTTGAGTAATGTAGAGTGACAGATGTATCCCCTGCCTCCCTTTTCTGGTTCTTTCAATTATAAAGCATGTTTCACAATTGTCTTATTTTTTTTTCTAGGGATCATATGCAGTGGTCAAAAGAAGAAGCAGCAGCAGCCAGAAAAAAAGTAGAGGAAAACTCGGCTGTGCGAGTCCTTCCGGAAGAGCAAGGTGGGCAACTCACTGCTGTGGTGCCTGGGGCCTGGCTCTTCTGTTTGACCTGCTAATTCAGCTCGGTCATTACTTTGGAGGGTTCTTTTCTTCTCCCTGTGCCAATCTACGTGTTTCATTTGGGAGAATTCCCAATTTTTCCACTGTGGCAGTACCAAAGTTAATGAACTAAATTATATATTGGCCTCATTCTTGCTCTTTTTTTTTGTCATATAGTTGCTTTTTCTGGAAGAAACACACATGGGTGGCATTTCAAACAAGATATGAAAATATAACTTAAAAATTTTCCTCTTGCTGTAAGTCTTTTTTTATGCATTTCATTTATTAGGAAAGTTCAACAAATTAAAAAACTTTGAGCAAAGAAGATAAAGTCATATCAAAACGTTGGTGGTCTTTTAGGATAAAGTACCAATAAGGATTAAAAGTAGTTTTCTTGAAAGCCATTGATATTTAAAGTTTAATTTAGATAAGGCCTTGCCAACCTTCAAAAATGGCTTCTAAGAAATTGATCTATGGCCCTGGCTAGAGTGGCTCAGTGGATTGAATGCCAGCCTGTGAACCAACCAGAAGGTCACTGGTTCAATTCCCAGTTGGGGCACATGCCTGGGTTGCAGACCAGATCTTCAGGTGGGGGCAGGCAAGAAGCACCCAGTTGATATATCTCTCACACATCAATGTTTCTCTCCCTCTTTTTCTTCCCCATTCCATTTTCTCTAAAAATAAATAAATAAAATCTTTTAAAAAAAAACTGATCTATGCTACTATCACAGAAACAGAAAATATCTTGGTGGGGATGTAGTGGGAACCTTTACGTATTGTTGGTGGAATGGTAAAATGGTACAACTTCTATGGAAAGCAGTATAGAAGCTCCCTAAAAAATTAAAAATTAAGCTACCACATATGAACTAGCAACCTCACCTGTGGGCATAAAAAGAAAAAGAAAGACAGAAAAACTTGAAAGCAGGGTCTTTAGAGATTATTTGCTCATCCATATTCATAGCAACACTATTCACACTGGGCAAAAGGTGGAAGCATCCCAAATGTCCATCAACAGATAAATTAATAAGCAAAATGTGGTATATACATACAGTGGATTATTATCATTCGGCCTTAAAAAGGAAGAAAACCCTATAAACCAGTCACAGAAGGACAAATATTGTATCGATTCCACTTATATGTGCTATCAAATGTAGTCAGATTCACAGAAACAGAAAGTAGAATGGTGGTTATGAAGGCCTGCGGGAAGGAGAAACACAGAATCGTTGTTTAATGAGTATGAAGTTCCAGAATTGCAAGGTGGAAAAGTTCAACACATCTGTTTTACAACAGTGTGAATATACTTCTGTGGGACTGTACACTTACAAATGATTGAGCTGGTAAGTTTTACATTGGGTGTTGTTTTAACCACAATTTTTTAAAAAGCACCCTCCAAAATGGCCTCTGTCCTCACTACATTGCTGGGAAACTTTGCCAAACACCTACACTCTCTAGATAGGATTTTTACCCTTATCTTTCTGAAAATCACTTCTTTAAAACATCTTGGTTCTTTATTCTTTTAAAAAAAAGTTTATTGAAATGCCAAATACAGAAATTTACACAACTTATAAATTAATTCTCACAAAGCTCAATGAATTTTCCAAACACCCACATTTAGAAATAAAATATTACTAGAACCCAGAAACTTCCTCATGTTCCATTCCAATGACCACACCTCCCCCAGCCCCTCAGACCTCAAAACAAGCAGCTGCTATTCTGGCTTCCAACACCACAGGTTAGTTTTGCCAGAACAGTTTGGTTCTGGTCATGACCATTTTGTAGTCACTCTTGTAGCAACAGTGTCCCCATTAGATGGAGCAAGTGTCAGCAAACTTTGGCCGCGGGCCAAATCCAGCCCACTGCCAATTCATACAAAGTTTTATTGGAACACAGACATACTCATTTCTTTGCATATTTTCTATGGCTGCTTTTGAGCTCTGTCTACATAGCTAAATAATGGCAACAGAGACCATATATAGCCCACAATGACTATTTACTATCTGGCCCTTTACAGAAAAAGTTTGCCAACCCCTGAGACACAATTTTCAGGATAGATTGATCAGCTGTCCTGAGATTCCCCAGGGAAAGATGGTTACATTCCTCTGTGCAAGCCAAGCATTGTGAAAATCACTAATCCCATCGGTAGTTAACTATTGTTCTAGTGACTTTAGTCTATAATTGAAGAAACTGAGCTAATGAGACAGCCCTCTTTGGCTGCCAGTGACCATTGAAGGGGACTGTGCTGCCCTCTTACCCTCTGGCATCATTTGCTATTCCTTAGAGCTTGTTCTCTTCTCTTATTCTAAGTTTGAGTGTGTCCTGGAGGCAGCCAAGGAAGAAGAGTACCTGATCCATGGAGGAACCGTTCTGTGTTTCTGAGCCCCGGCCATGCACCCCTGAGTGGGATGTGGCCAGGGAGTGCTGGGGTTGGATTTGAGGGTGCATACCAGCGGCAGTTCTGCTTACAGATCAGCCAGCATTGCATTCCTCTGCAGGAACTCTGTCACACTGTTTCTGAGGAAGTATAATTTTGCTTCTTTGCCAGCAGCTGCACAGACATATTTTCCACATTACTCAAGCTTCTGCTAGGGGCCACCTGGATGTGACAGAAAGAGTCAAGCCTAAACTGAATTAAAAGTTATCAGTCATCTTAATTCGTTTCCAGGAAGTTGAAAATTATACACAGTATATTTCCTGATAATTTGAAAAACGAAGGATTTTTTTCATGCTCCTTTGAGTATTTCTGTTTAGAACATAAATACATGAGCAGTGCTGATAATGTTCCCTTACAGTGCTCTGCATGCGGCTGCCTATTTTGGCCTATTTATGTTAACAATGAACTTGAGTGAAGCTAATGAGAAGGTTATTTTAGGGCCTTGGAAACCGCAGTAAAGGAAAATGACAGTTCCCACAGAACCATAGTGTGACTGAAATAGAAAGGTGGTGACTGGGCTCTCTCGGAAGAAGCAGGAAAAGCAGGCTGGAGCAGACTGATGCTGCTGCTTTGAAGCATTTGCTTTGCTTATTAGCATGTCCAGTCTCTTTTTGAGCAAGTTTTCTGGCTGCTGTGGAGACACAGAACAAAAGATTCCATTTTAAAATGACTCAAAGTGATCGCGGTTTCTGCTGGGTCCCATGTGCGTCCCCCCTGTAACACTACTCAGTGCGGTGGACTTCCTGCCTGTCAGGGAACAAGGAGAGGGACACACAGGGAGGGTGACTGGTTCATCACACTTAAGCAGGGTTGCACAGAGTAGCAGCTGGGGCTGCTGTGAGGATGGCAAAGAAAGAACACTTCTGTTTCGAGAAACTTCAGTGACAGGACATTACAATGAGAGTAAATGCCTACCCAGCCACCCAGTCCAGTCTCTGCCAGGGATCATAGAGCTGCTAGTCTGCAGAAGCCCTAGGTGAGGCTTCTGATTTGATATTTAATGTCTCTGATGAATATGGGTCAAGGGGAATAGATCTGTTTAAAAGCTCTCCTCCCAACCTTTGTGAAAACCCAAAGGAAGCTCTGACCCAGTTTTCCCAGCACCTCATTTAACCACCATCTCTTCCTACCTAGGACAGACCTACGTCGTTAAGGGGCCAGTTTTCTCCCATCACAGAGTGTCCCATTAGCAGATTATTATACAACATGATCACTGTTTATTGACTTTATCTCACTGGCTTTAATGCCACTGGGAGGAAATACTGGTTGATCTCCCATGCTGGCCAACTCCCTAGTACATTTCTTTCGGTCTTTGTGTGTGTCAGTCTGTCCTGTCATTCCTGTATCCCATTTCTCATCCACTGTTTCACTTGTTGGTGAGAATCGAAGTCAGGAAAACACCCTCACAATTCTGAAAATAAGAACTTATCCATCACAACTAAGAGTCTTTTTTGCTATGAGATGGTTGACATTTCATTTTTGTGATTAAAATATATAGCATCCAGGTTTTCATTAGCAATATTTCTTTCAATTAGATGCCCAGATTAATGATTTTTAATTCCACATATCCTTTGGTAATATCTTTTATATTTTATTATAGCTCATGTTTCTTTTAAAAGCAGGTTAATTTGAGAAATGGGCAAGATTCATTTGGCAGTTTTTGAGTTAACATGATTATTTTATAATTTTCTAAAAACATCCCCAGTGTGTTATATCTCAGCTGGTTATTTAGCAAATGTAATGGGTTTTTAAAACTTAATACCAATGGCAGCTGTGATTTTTACTCTAAAATATCTTGGTAAATAACTACCTAGCTAGGATGAGTTATCTATGTCAAGCAAAACAGTAAAAGAATCCCACTATACCTTCTTGTGAATACCTTACCACTTGAGGAGATATCCTATGTGGAAAAAAAAAGTAGCTAAAAGTTTCATGTGCCAATAAATTTAGGGTATTGTTTATAAGTCAGCTTTGGTTGTTTAAAATTTCATGCAGTGCTCTTAGAAATGTACTTTTTATTTCATAACTTTAAAAGTTTTTCTTTATTAGACAGTGAATGTTATCAGCGACATGTGGAAATTTTCAGCATTGAGAGCTCAGGTATTTGCGTAATTGATGAGCAAAAATAACTTTAAATTGCTTTTTGTTTCACTGCAACTTAGAATAAATTTTCATAATTCATATTAATCATATCATATATGTCAGATACATAAGTGGTTTAATTCTTTTTCTAAGTTGTGATATTCAGTGTGATTCAGAATGAATTCTGAATATTTAAGCATGGTTATTACTGTATCATATTCCTTCTTCCCCTCAGCAGTTCTGTATTAATAAGTGAATAATTGAGAAGTTGCTTCATCTGGCTGTGGTTAAACAGATCACTACATCCCTTTTATCGCCACTGGCTTAGAGCAATTAATTCTGATATGGCAACCTAGGAATGTGAAAGGAAAAAATGGTTCTCCAAGAAAAACTGATCATTAATAGAACTGTTTAGAAGGCCAGTTAGACAAGGTGAAGATAGGGCAGATTTCTTCACACTATATTGTTTTTTCGTTATTGGCGTGAACTTGAGATAGATTAACAGTAGGTTGAAACTAAATGTTTCACTCATGGTCAAGAAAGTAACTCTTCAAAATCCCCTGTTATCACAGATACTCTTTCAGTTCAGGAAATTAAATCATACACTGAAGGTGTTTATGTTGTCTCATAAACATAATTACAAGTTTGATTGAACTCCTGTGGGGTCTCAGAAGCTGTCACACATTGCTGGGAAGTACGGCATTTCCAGAATTGACTGGAGGCATTGCTGAAAACGCAACTTTAAAAAGAAAAAATAATGCCCAAACTGTTAACCTTTCCCCGGCCTATCCTGGGTGCTGTTTCTGTTTTGATTTTTGTCCCACAAATCTATCTATTCTCATAGAGCATTTTATGTTGTCATTGCTCACCTCAGTTTCATCATATAGCCTTGCATAATTTATATTTTATATTATTCAAATGAGCTTTAATTAATTCTGTATTTCTGACCTATTTTTATGAAAATTCACTCCAGTCGACAAAGTTTTGATCTTAACTTAATGCGTCATAAGGAGAGGAAAGTACAAAATCAGAAAAGCAGAGATTAATTTCCAACAGCATGGGTGGACCTAGAGGGTATTATGCTAAGTGAAATAAGTCAGAGAAAGACAGATACGATCTAATATCACTTATAAGTATGTGGAATCTGAAGAACAAAGTAAGCAAACATACAAAATTGAAACAGACAGATGCCGAAGACAAACTGATGGAGGAGAGGTGGTGGGCGAGGTGAAATGAAGTGGTGAGAGTAAAAAGTACAGATTGGCAGCAAGTTACAGAGCAGTTGTGGGGATGTAAGGTAGAGCACCGGGAATTTGGTTAACAGTATTGTAACAGCTGCCTGTGGTGCCGGGGTGGCACTTGAACTGTCAGAGGCAACACTTTGTAACCTGTATGAATGTCTGTCCACTGTCTGTCCACCTGAAACTAATACAAATAATTTGAATACAAAAATAAAAATAAAGTATCAGCAGAAACCTGAAAACAAAAAGAAAAACAGATATTTTCAGAGGTATTTTGGAGGGAGTTACTGTTTTGTGTTAGGAAGGCAATGTACTGTAATTGTGTTAAGAGCATGAGTTTTACAGTTTAATAGACTTGGACTGGGTCCTGGCTTTGCTGGCCCTTGGGAAAAATTGTTTAACCCTTTTGACCTTGAATTTATTTGTAAATTGGAATAATTTGTTTAACCCTTTCGACCTTGAATTTATTTGTAAATTGGAATAATAGTATGCCCATTAGAAAGGTATTATTAGGGTTAAATGAGAAGAAAAATTCAAGGAAGGCATTGGACAAAGCACCTGGCACATAAATTACACTTAGTATGTGTTAATATAATTGTTATTTTCAATGATGTTACTGGTGTAATGATTTATGTAAATGTTTGGGTTTTTTCCTCCTAATTCATGAGAAGGAAATACTTGAAAAAGGCTTCAGAGTGTCTACATTCGCAGACATTGACCATCATCTTCTAGTAGTCATCAGATCCTGTTAAAGATTTCGCGGGCCAGGCCTGAATTTACACACTTGATGTGTTTGGTATCTGAACCAGATTCCAGTCACTTGCTACAGATTCATTTTCTCTTTAAATTGTAGAAATCAAAACAATAATATAGGCTTATATTTGTAACAGCAGTCTTACCCAAGATTTTGTAATTTGTAGAACTGATAATGTTTAATGTTCTCTGTAAGTTCATGGGGTTTAATAGGAAAGTACACAGATTTTTTAGGGCTTGAATATAGAGGTACATTCAACTCCTCATCAAAGGAGGAAACCGTGTAGGCAAGTTGAATGAAGAATCAACTAAGTTTCCTTCCCTTTGTGTAAGATATAGATAAAACTTTGTAAAAGGAAGAACTACATAATAATTATCAAATTGTTGTTATCACTCCAAATTTCCATCTGATTGTAATATATGAATGTAAAATAGATTTTCGAGTTGCAGTCAGTGTAGAGACCATTCTGTGTGAATGTTGTCTCATTATCATTCTTTAAATTTTGATTTCTGTATAAGGTTACTCAGTTTTGACCTGCCTAGTTTCCTTGGCCACGGTTTGTTGGGTATTTGAGATATTTCCCACTTCTTCCTCTCACAAATAGCACTGCTATGAATATCTTTCCTTTCAAGTTACTCCCCTGCTGTCTACCTCCCTACCCCCAATTAATTCCTAGGGGAATATTCTGCACATTAATCAAGGTGTGTTTTACATTCTATTTACTGGTAGTTAGGTTCAAACTCACTTCACAAGTAGCTTGCTAATGGAAACGCAAGTACTATAGATTTTACTAAAGGTAGGTCTTGTTAGGTGGTTGCTTTTTAGAAGCAGGAAAATCTTCTACCAGCATAGAGTAAGTTACAAAGAGTTTTTAAGGTAAAAAGAAAGATATAAGGTACAAGAAGACCCTGGGGAAATTAGGCAGTTCCTAATTCCCCCTGAGTCTGATTTTCAGAATGTTGTTTTGTTTTCTTTGTATATCAGGTATATTCCAAGTCTTAAAAGTAGAGAGGACTGTTGTGAAGATAAATATGTAGCAGTTTTAGATTAATCATAAATAGTCTTCCTTCCATTAGTGTGGATGTGAGTATGTCTTGGACTTCAGCATCACATAATTCTTTTGTTACAGAGCTCCACTTTCATTTTTCAGACCTTAAATACAGATGGGAGTTTCTGCCTTTATAGCAGTCCTGCTGTCAGATACAGTTCAGCCTTGATGGGAAGGAAGTCTTGTGGCCAAATGGGTGGAGATCCATGGTACAAGGTCATAAAGATAAAAATGGAAAGAAAAGAAAAAACAAGGGCATCAGGACGCAGCTCTGTAACAACAATAAGCCCGATTATTGGCATTGCTTGTTCTGAGTGTAGGGACCTCTCTAAACATGTGAAAGAAATGAGTTTGTTATTTTTAATTTTAGTTTAGTTTAATTTATTTTTGGTTTACAATAATTGCACACAGATCAAAATTCAAATGAAAATTAGGAAACCACTGAGTTCCCCTATTTGGGGGCAGCCAGTATTACTAATTAGGTGATTATCCTTCCCAAACTATTCTATACAGACACAAGTAAATGTGTATATATACATGCACGTGTGTTTCTGTGTATGCACACACACGTTTTCTTTTTTCTTTTTCCTGTAACCAATGATGCATCATAACATACTGTTCTACATTTTGATTTTCACCTAACATTGCATCGTGGAAATTCTGTATCACTAGGTTTTTTATTCTTTTGAAGCACTTTAAAAATATCATGTGCCTACATTGGTGAAAGGAATTCTTAAGCCATCGATTAGGCCTAGGGAGTAGGCCTGGTATATAACAGTATCCAAGAAATGTTTGTTGAATGAGTGAGTGAGGAAGTGAGTGAATTATTTTATTAGTTTAAGGTACAAATAGGATAGAGGCAGAAAGCTAAAAATTCCCTCAAGTTTTGAGACTCTTGACCTAACCCTGACCCTGGGATCCTTTGAAATCTAAGGGATAACATCACAAAAGGCATATCTTTTTTAAAAAGCCATCAGAAATTCTCTTCAGGGCTTCATGTTGGGAGATGTCAGTAGGAAGAGATGTCTCTGGAAGTGGGGGAAGAATGGGGGTATGGGATGGCCCCTAGATTCCAGGAGCCAGGGCACATATTATACAGGGTCCTGGTTCTGCTGTGATAAGACTCCAGGCCCTGGGGCTGGGTTCATCTATTCTTTGCTGTTTTTCTTCCAGTGCAAAACAAGGGTATTGCAGTAGAGTATTTCAATGGGCCATTCTAGCTCTAAGATTATGTAATTTATAATACCACAATTTCCTGTCTGATTACCAACTTGCACAGACATTGTGTTGAAACTGCATTTACACAGATAAGAAATTAGGTGTCCTTTCTCTAAGATAATAAAGAGCCTTATAGGTTATTGGTAAAAATGTGATTATGAAGATTCCAAGATTAGACTGTTGAAAGTTGTTTGCAATAATTATATATTCCTCACAAAAACCTACTGGCCAAACTATTGAGACAGAAACAAATGAACTAAATACCCCACACATTGACACACTTTGAGAGAATTAATACTCTGTAGTTTTAACCTTTAAGAGTAAAAAAATCAGATAATTATAATATTAAAGTTATTCCTAGTAAATATGGTTGTTATAAATGATAAATAATGGATATAATATACTTAACAGATTTAATTATTAAATATATCTTGCTATTAAAATAATTAATAGTATTCATAGTAAAATAATTTTTTTCTCTTTATTTTAGTTAAGTATGAGAGTGAAGCTTATAAATATTGGGACACATTTTACAAGATTCATAAGAATAAGTTTTTCAAGGATCGAAATTGGCTCTTGAGGGAATTTCCTGAAATTCTTCCAGTTGATCAAAAAACTGAAGAGAAGACAAAAGAATTATCATGGGACCATGTGAAAACTAATGCTGCAAATGGTTTCTCAAGAAAGCACTGTCCTACTGTACCCGAAGAAAAACACTGTGAGGAAAGTTCTAGCTTGTCAGATGGTCAAAGTGAGATGGAATCTGATTTTTCCAAACTTGACCTTGAAGCACACAGAAAAGGACCCCCGGAGACTGAGCTGTTTCCTGGTAGCAAAGCCACGTTCAGGATCCTAGAGGTACGTGTGTAATGTGCTGTAGGGCAGAGGCGGGAGGTGGCCAGTAGCCTTAAGGTGCACATTCCATAGCACTTTTATTAGTGATCCAGGTTTTTCTCAGGAGACAGTGATCATATCTAACTAAATAAATTTCCAGGATGCTTTTTTTAAATTAATTTTTTATTCTTTTTTTTAAAGATTTTATTTATTTGTCTTTAGAGGGGAAGGGAAGGAGAGAGACATCAATGTATGGTTGCCTCTTGTGCGTCCCTGCTGGGAACTGGCCTGCAACCCAGGCATGTGCCCTGACTGGGAATCAGACCATGGTTGCTTGGTTCCCAGGCCCACGCTCAATCCACTGAACTACACCAGCTAGGGCTATTTTCAGGATACTTTTGTATATAAAAAAACTTAAGGAACTCTTATCTTTAATTAGTCAGGTGTTAAGTGTGTAATATTAATTTTTTTTACTTTGTCAGTTTTAATATCTAATTTGAAGGCAGTTTTAAATACTAATAAAGTTTTGGCCTTAACTTCCATCATCTTTTTCTGTTATTACTCCTTTTTAGGTGAAATAGAAATGTCAGATATATAATTTGCTATGATTTGGTGTGGACTTTGATCTTCTACTTTTAAAAATATACTTCTTCCTTCTGATTATAAAGGTAGAACATACTAATTACAGAGAATTTGCTAAAGAGTAGATAAGAGAATGAAATTATCTGTAATCGCACTGTTAACATTTTACTGACATTTTCTCTTTTTATTTACACTGTTTTGTATAATTGAGCTATAGTTGGGGTCTTGTTTTGTGTCTATTTAACATTATTTCATGAGTTGTTTTTCCTATCTATAAAATTTTTCTATAAATATTTTCATGGCAGCAAAATACTTTACTATGTGGAGTACTATAATTCTACTTATTTTTTTTTTACACTACTGGACATTTAAGTTGTTTTGAGATTTCTACAGCAAACATCTTTGGGTATAGACTTTCTCACATTTTCTTTTATTATCTTGGGTAGATTTACTGATTCATAATTTATATAAATGAATTAACACTCTTAAGATACACCACCAGATTGCTGTGTAAGAAGCTGTACTAACACAGTTCACACACAGTTCATGGCAACCTGTGTGTGTTTCTTTACATCTGCATTGATTAGAATACTCTTCTTTTATTGCTTTCCACTTTCTAAGACAAAACATTACACTTTGTTTTAATTTTCATTTCTTTGATTATTAAGCAGGTCGGATAGTCCTTCAGATGTTTAGAAGCCATTCGTACTTCTTTTGTGTTCTCTTTATTTTCTTTGCTTATTTACCCATAGTTTTTTTTTATGAGCTCTCTATCCTTTATCATATTTATTGCAAATGTTTTTTGACACTATATTGGTCATCTTTTAATTCAGTTTATTTTGGTTTTGGTGTGTAAAAATTTTAAATGTTTCCATAGTCAAATATCTCAGTATTTTTCTTGTGATTAATTCCATTGCTTTTGAGTTTAGAAAAATCTCCTATATCCAGAGATCCAGTAAATTTCTTGGAGTTTTTTTTTTTTTTCATTAAAAATCTGACATTAGGAACATTTAACCTGGTTTCATGATATTTATTTGTTCTTTGATTTTAGGTTGGCTGTGGGGCTGGAAATAGCGTTTTTCCAATTCTGAACACTTTGCAGTAAGTTTTATATATGTATGGGATGTTGAGAAATTCTGGGAGAATGTTGTCATGTATATACCAGTAGAGTCCTTGTTTGCATACAAATAAAGACTAAGGCAAAAAAATGAAACTTGAGCACCGACTTACACCATACACCAAAATAAATTCAAGGTGGATGAAAGACTTAAATATAAGCCATGAAACCATTAAAGTCCTAGAGGAGAACATTGGCAGGGAAATCTCAGATATTTCACACAGCAACTTTTTTACTGATATGTCCCCTAGAGCAAGGAATATAAAGGAAAGAATAAACAAATGGGATCTCATCAAAATAAAAAGCTTCTGCACGGCTAAAGAAAACAGTATTAAAATAAAAAGACAACCAACTGTATGGGAAGCCATATTTGCCAATGATACCTCAGACAAAGGTTTAATCTCCAAAATATACGAAGAGCTCACATGACTCCACTCTAAGACAACTAACCCAATTAAAAAATGGGAAAAGGACTTGAACAGACACTTCTCCAATGAAGACATACAGAGGATCCAGAGGCACATGAAAAGATGCTCAATATTGCTAGCTATCAGAGAGATGCAAATTAAAACCACAATGAGATACCACTTTACACCAGTCAGGATGGCTATCATAGACAAAGCAACAAACAACAAATGTTGGAGAGGTTGTGGGGAAAAGGGCTCCTAGTTCCCTGTTGGTGGGATTGCAGACTGGTACAACCACTATGGAAAACAGTATGGAATTTTCTCAGAAAAATAAAAATTGACCTGCCTTTTGACCCAGCAATTCCACTGCTAGGATTATATCCTAAGAACCCTAAAACACCAATCCAAAAGAACCTATGCACCCCAGTGTTCATAGCAGCACAATTTACAATAGCCAAGAGCTAGAAGCAACCTAGGTGCCCATCTTGAGCACCAATGAGTAAATGAATGGATAAAAAAATTATGGTACATATACACAATGGAATTCTATACAGCAGAAAGAAGGAGCTCCTACCCTTTGCAACAGCATGGATAGAACTGGAAAGCATTATGCTGAGTGAAATAAGCCAGGCATTGAAAGACAAATACCATATGATCTCACCTTTAACAGGAAGCTAAACAACAAAACAAACAAGCAAGCAAAATAAAAACAATGACACTGAAATAGAGAACAGGGGGACAGGGACCAGAGGGGAGAGGGGAGGGAATTTCAGGGGAAAAGGGGGAGGGATTTAGAGGAGCTAATATAAAGGACACATGGACAACAATTAAGGGGCATGGAAATGGGAGGGAGGTGGGGAGCACAGGGTGGGGGGGTGGGCTGGGATGGGCATAAAAGACAGAAGACTACTTGAAGAATAATTCAATAAAAAATAATAAATTTTTTAAAAGACTAAGGCAAATTTCAAAAGCAGTGTCTTAGTCTTAGAGCTTAATTTCAAGTGAACTGGGAACTACTGTGAAAATAGTGTCTCGCAGCCATGGATTGTCCACCTCAAAGTGAAGTATTTTCTTAAGCTCGTGTTTGTGTAGAAGAGTAAATAAGAAAAGAGCAAGAAAAGGCCAAGAGATTTAATCCTTCTACTAAGCTATGAATTGCTAAACTTCAAAGATTTCCTCCTCCTCCGGGGCATATAGGTGTTATTTTACATTTAAAGAATTGCGTTTAAAGCTTATATTATAATCCTCATTTTATTGTGTTATTACTTCTGGAGCCACACCCAGGATAAAACCTTTCGATGTCAAATAATTGTCTCTAGACTTGAAATTGTTTGGGGCTAACAGCAACTAACCCTAATACTCAAAAAAGAAGTCGAGGGTGGGGACGGAGATGTTTGCCTGCCCTGCCTTTCCTCTTCCACACCTCACCTGTATGTTTTAGTATCTCCAGGACAGAACACACCTTACAAAATTTTTCTAACACCTTTTACCTCTGTTGGAAGTTTACACAATAGCTTTTACATTCTTTTTCCCTTATCAATCAGCATAAGCACATTCCAGGACATTTCCATTAGAGGAAATGGGAGGGGCGTTGAGGAGGTGGGGGAATGATCCTAACAGCTGCTGACAGAATTTTTGTTGTCATTCTTTTCAGTCTTTTCTCAATGCATATTTCTTAATTTAAAGATGCTATTTTAACTTTAATTATGAAAATGTAAATGCTTTCAGAAAAGTAAAGAGTTACACAATGAATCTCCATGTACCCACCACCTTGATTCAACAATTATTAATATAAAGCCAACATTATGACACTTTATTTTTAACTATGATGGGTCTTAGGAAGTATCCCCAGAAGATCAGGACATTCTCCAGTAGTATTATAAACCAAACATAATGAAGAGTAAGTATTCCCTAATAGCATCAAATTTCACTGGTTAAAGTAGGCAGGCAGAAGTGATGCTGGCAAATTGTCAGTTCTGAATGGCCTTTCTCTTTCTGTACTTATTTCCTCTGTTATTTCTTTTCCAATTTCTGGGCTGAAATTTTCTGTTCTTTTAGCACATAGCCAGTGATCTCCAAGCTTGTAATACAGAGAAATCTATTACATTGGCAGTCAATTATGTGTTACTTTATGACTCATCTCAAGGTTTTATTTAGCATGTCATTTCTTTTTATCTTATCTCTCCAACCACTGTTTATATTCCTTTTGAGAGAGAGCATATTTTACCCTAATCTGTTTTTCCAGGTAGCCTAGCAGTACAATATAGATGGTTTGAGCTCAGTACACATTGACTCATTAATATCTCTTATTCCCCACTTGTTGGTTGTAATTTTACCTCTCTACTTTTCCTTTAACTAATAATTGCAAGCTCTGGCTTCCTCCACTCCCTGACTTTTCTTGTCTGTGTCTTTATTTTGCCTCATATTCCCATTTTAGACATCACTGTACCTCAGTAATCTGAGCTCACTAACTCATCCTTTCAAAGGCAAGCAGTGCCCTGGCCAGTGTGACTCCATTGGTTGGAGCATCGTCCCATGCACCAAACAATTGCAGGTTCAGTTCCCAGTCAGGGCACATGCCTGGGTTAAGGGTTTAGATCCCTGGTTAGGGTGCCTATGGGAGGCAGCCAGTCAATGTTTTTCTCTCTCTTTATCTCTCTCAGATCAATAAACATATTTTTAAATATTCTAAAAAGGCAACCAGTGAGTGATTAACCTTCCCAGAGAAATATCAGACTTTTTTCCCCACCTAAGAAATTATGTTTTATTATACTTTTGGAGAGTATAGAGTTAATGTTTTACATTTTCAGAATATTTTACTATAATTACACCTTCAGAATTGAGAAGTCATATCATTCTCCAAGGATCATTTAATGCTTAACCCCCCCTCCAAGATAGTGCTTGGTGGTAGTAGTGATATTTACACCTGCTTGCTGGGAGAAGGGCCAAGGCGGTCAGCTGACTACAGAAAAGCTCTGAAATATCACTGAGTGGTCACAAGACTTCAACTCGGGCTGCCAGTACAGTGGAAATTCAGTCTCAGAGGTCATGCTGCTGCCCTGGTAGGACACAGGGCAAGTGGCCCATTCTTTCCTTTAGCAACTAGACTGCTGTGCTGTGTGGGCCTTTAGTGACCACTGCCCAAAGGCAGGCTGCATAGCTTTCATAATGAACTACACGTGGCAGTGTCCAGAGCAGCATTTTGAGTTAAGTGGAAGTTTTTATAGAACCCTGTTAAATTCTTACCTTTCTAAGTTCCTGGAAGGCAGAGAGAGATCTTCCTTTAATATTATGATAGTGATAATAGTAATAGCAATAGTAATAGCATAAGAATGACTAACAGTTATTAGGTGCTTGCTCTAAATTAGGCAGCCTTCTGGAAACTTACATGAACTCATCAATCCTCCTAACCACCTCAGGTGCCATGTTTATCTCTTTAAAAGATGAGGAAACAAGAGTGTCAGAGAGATGTACTACACTCCACGGTCCCACAACTAAGTAGTAAAGCCAGGTCTCCAGCTTCAGGCAGTCTGGTTCCAGAGCCCTCACCTTGGCCATCGTATGGCATAGTGCTGTGCGCATCCAAGTGTTTATTGAGAACATTTCAAACACTTGTGGCTGCCAGCAATTACCAGTCACAAATACACGGATTTCATAGGAAACGAGAGGAGTATGGCTACAGTCAGTCACTGGGTTCATGTGGGGCAGACAGGGGAAAACAACCAGAGCAAATTTGAACTTCGATTCTGTGCTGGTTAACTTTGTGTGACCAAATTCTGTTCCTCAAACTTAAATTTATTTGGGCAGATCTTAAATCAAATGTCAATCCCTAGTGCCACAGAACAAGTGAATTATACATGAACATAGTAGTCATCAATTCGCAGCATTTAAGAGTGTAATCTGAGCCTGGGGGAGATTTTGCTAAATGCATATTTGTGCTTATATTCCATATTTATTTAAAGTCCTCCTTGTTTGAGGTGCTTCCTGAATCAAATCAGAAGTTCTAATTGTGTGCCTCAAACCCTCCTGCCTTTCCTGCCTCGTACCAGTCTGGGGTCTTGGGATCAGCTCTGCTTCTCATCCCTGGAGTGTGACTCCCACCTCTAAACCCTATTCCCTTCCCCTCCTCCCTGCTTAGTAATGCTATCCTCCTCCTTCAAAATTCTTAAGACTTCTACTTCTAGGAGCCAGTCCTATCCACACCCCTATAGTAGTTGCATTAAAACCAATTATGTCCCTGAGTAGGCTATAAAATCCACTACTGCCAGAAGCAACATGAAGGCCACCCATAAACCACTATATAGAGAACAATATGTACAAAAAAGTAACGACAAGCCAAGTGTCATCCAGAAGTCTATTAAGGATGTACTTATTAACTAGTTCAAACCTATTTTTTGTTCTTTTGTAGTCTGAGCATATCTGGGTTCTGGATTTCAGCGTTTCCATTTGTGTTTATAGGAATGCTCCAGAGTCTTTTCTTTACTGTTGTGATTTTGCTTCTGGAGCTGTGGAGCTGGTAAAGGTATGCCTTGCATGTTCTTTAAACAGCCACATAAGAATCTGATTTATTTGCTGTTGAAGTGATTGGCTGAGGTGGGGAGGGTGTGTCCCCCTCAGATGTTATCTGTGACCATTTTTAACTGAACTTTTACTATTTCTGGGAACCATATGATCAACTGATGCCTAAGATATAACCCTAAAACAGTAAAAGTTGTTTTGAATTTAACGTAGAGTTGAAGGGACTAATACAGCTAGAAAGGCCAGTAGCTCTGGCAAGGCGATCTTGTTCATATTTACATCCCCAAAGCCTTACACACAGTCTGGCACAGAGTAGGTGCCCATTATGTTTAAAATGTTGACCAAAAAACAACTGAAATGTCCTAGAAGGTAAGGAAAACAGTGGGGAGTCTGGGCTTATTTGACTAGTCCCCAAATGTTAGTGACCATAACCTTAGCAAGGAGTGGTACTACTAATGTTAGGAAATGGAAAAGGAAGGGAAATCCTGCAAACAAAAATGTGTATTGAACATATGGAACATAATTTCGGATAATAAGAGTAAAAGTTATTCATCTTAGACTTTTTGTAAAATACTGAAAAGCCTAAAGGGGAAGACCGAATTTACTTACAATTACACTTCCTAGAGTCCGAGGGTAAGTCAAGGTCAACATTTTGGTATATGTCCTTGTACTGTTGTTTTCGTAGGTGAATTGCGTGCGTGTGTAGACTCTAGTGCAATCTTTTAAAATATAGTTTGCATACCCTACAGTTCTCCATGTTAAGTACATAATTCAGTGGTTCTTAGTGTATTTACAAGTTGTGCGACCATCACCACTATCTGGTCTTCATTGTGTCAGACACTGACAGCCAGATGAGGCGGGGAACCAGCGGTGAGGGAGGATGCTGTGGAGCCTGTGACCTACACAGGGTTGGGTCCCAGCAGCGCTGCCGCCTGCCGCCGGGTCAGGAAAACTGCCCCACTCCGCCGTGAAAATCAAAGAGGGATTGCAGTCAAGTCCAAGTGTTAGAAGTGAATTTTGATGGCAGCTTTGAAATAAGCTAGCAATTCTGAATCGGAAATAAAGTGCATTCACATTTATAGAGGAAAGGCACTTGGGAGCGTACTTTTTACTTCTTTAGGAGAAGTAAAAAATTGACCTTTTTATTTTAAGAAGAATACTATAAGTCTAACTAGTCTTCTTTCTCTCTTTGTATCCCTTTATCCCGACAGTCGCACCCGTCCTACAGAGCAGCCCAGTGCTGCGCCTTCGTTCGGGACGTCTGTGATGACAGCGCACCCTACCCTTTCCCGGAGGGGACGCTGGACGTCATCCTCCTGGTCTTCGTGCTCTCGTCCATCCACCCCGACAGGTGAGTGGTGGCGAAAAGGGCAAAGCACGTGTGGGAAGCCCCTCTGTCAGTGGTGGTTTTTAGAACTATCAAGGCAAAATTGACAATTTTTGAATATATTCAGTGAACTACGTTATGCGTAATATGCATCCTTTTAAATACAGTTTTTTCTTTCTTCAGACTTTTAGAAAGAAACTGGTCAAACGACTTCATTAGTGAGCTTTCTGTCACTGTCAGAATGAAGTGAGCACGTTCCAACAAAACACATACCTATTAAAAGTGACAGTGCTTCAAGGAAATTACAAATTCCCAGCAGCCTAATAGACTCCCAAGAGGGAAACTGTACTTGGTGATCAGAAGCAGACATCTTTGATTTAGCATCTTACTGAACGTTCATGAAGAGGTGGGCTGGGAATCTACGTGGCTTCACACAGATCTGTCAAGGGGCTTTACGAAAGTTGTTTTAAACAAGCCCACTAGGGAATTATGGATTATCAAGATATGCCAGATTAACCTTGGACCTTTATAATCTAACAATGACCTAGCGAAATTATTTAAATATTTATGACTTAAATTTTTGGTTCACACATAATGTTCTGAAACAGTAAACACAGCTTTTCTCCTTAGAGGAAGCACAAAGAGCTATTACCAGCAATTAAAATGATCACTTTTCTTAAAAATTCTGCCATCTCATATGTATTAAGGCCCATGTGTGGTGTCAGGGGATGTTGTGCTTTCGTAAATTTCCTTAAAATTGGGTTTTCTGCTGTGGGAGTAGATGCAGCTCCAGGAAGGAGCCTCTGGTGGCAGGTGCAGACTTGACCTCGGCCACCTTCTGTCTGATGAGTGTGGTCCTTTCCCAAAGAAGCTGAGTTACCATGCGCTTCTTTCTTTGCAATTATAAGGTCACTAGGACTCTTTACAGTCCTTTGACTTCTCATTCAGAGGTGAGCACTTCGATTACTTGTGGGAAAACAAATTAGATTTCTGAATAAATCTGAATGAAAGATATTATTTGTACTTAGTGACTGTATCAGATTCCATGAAGCTACTTCTTCTCCCAGTCTCCGTAACCTGTATTTTTGGCTAATCCGTTTAGACTGTTGGCATTATTCAGGTACTACTAGTAGAAAGGTGGTAGTGATGTGTTTCATTTCATAATAAAAAGGATGGAGTAGGTGGCTAGAGAACAAGATTTTCTATTTGACACTCATAACAGGAAATGTTTAAATTCCCAATAAGACCACAAGACGACTATTTGAAATCAGTTTAGATAATATTTTTCTCATGATTTCAATTGAATGTTAAAGAGAAAAGAAAACAGGTGTCTTAGATTGCTTGTATAGTTCAGTATGTTCATTCTATTTATTTATTGTAGAGTAAACTCAGATGTATCATGTCACTTTCTTACCTACATGGGAATGATCTAAAAATAAGGTGAATGAGTAGAAAGAGGGCAATAGTAAAGAAAAAGGCAAGGCAGTATCTTAGGGTCATTTAGGACTGTGGTAGTAGATTCAGCCCCAAGAAATTTCTAGAAAAGTAGCTTCTTGCCAGCTTGTAAAATCCATGCACAAATGAACAGCAAAAAATTCAGCTAGACCTTGAGTCTGCAAGTCACAGCTTTTTAAAATTTTTTTATTTTAGAGGGGAGAGGAGAGAGAAAGAGAGGGAGAGAAACATCGACGTGGGAGATGTACATAGACTGGTTGCCTCTCACACACCCGCAACTGGGAACCTGGCCCTCAATCCAGGCATGTGCCCTGACTGAAAATTGAACCAGTGATCCTTCAGTTCCCCAGCCGATGCTCAACCCACTAAGCCACACCAGCCAGGGCTGGCGTCCCAGCTTTGGTGGTAATAAACCATAGGAGGCTAAAAAAGAAGAGCTTACTGTCCTTCTTGTCACTAAAATAAAAGAAAGTATAATATGTTTGCCAAGACCCAAGTATAGACTGGGCAGTCAATATGTGTTTTTAAAAATATCTTCTTTTCCTTCATCCAGAGACAGGTGAGGATAGCAGAATTGGCCCAAGTCAGGTAAAGAAAGAAAAGGGGCTTTCTCCCATTCTTGTCTGGCCCGTCTCACTGCCAGCCTGCTTCCACCCACAGCTCCTAGGACCTGGCCCTGGAACTGCATCATGAGCTACCACGGGAGGTTCAAGAAAAGCAGCTCCCACCCCTTGCCTTTTAGCCACAACACCAGACATTAAAGGAGAGTTGGAAAGGAAGGGTTTACAGAAGGAGGCAGCTACCTTCTAAACTACAGTTGACCCTTGAACAAAGCAGGGTTAGCAGTGCTGGCCCCCACGCAGTTGAAAGTCTGCGTATAACTTTTTACTCCCCCAAAACTCAGTCATTATTAATAGCCTACTGGTGACTAGAAACCTTACCACAAATGGTCAAACCTTAACATATATTTTGGATGTTATTGTACTCTTGCAATAAAGTTAGTGAAAAGAAAATATTGTTAAGAAAAGCATAAGGAAGAGGAGATGCATTTACAGCGCTGTGTTGTATGTGCTGACACTGTAAGTTTATGTCATCTGTTTCCAAGCTGGATTGTCAGCACCTGCATCGGTGTTACCTTACATGATATGAAACTCTGTCAATGTTATAAATACTACTAACACTAGACATCAAAAATGAAAAGATACTATGCAGGAGAAATCCATACTTATTTAGAGGTATAACATCATCAGCAATATGATAGCTGTATGGTAACCTAGAGTGATCAATACTGTTGCTTCCTGGTGGTAAGGAAATCTCCAAAAAAGCTTCCAATATATTTATGGGTAAAGTCCATGTATAAGTGGACCGGCTGCTCAAACCCATGTTTTCAAGGGTCAACTGTATTTGGCTGTTTATGTTTTTGTATTTTTACTTCATGCTCATTTTACTAATAATTGCAGAAAGAGACTTTTCCCTATAAATAAAACACCCTGAAAGTGAGTTATTTTAAGGTTTAGGTGTAGCTTTATTTAATTGCCAAAGCCTAAAGATATAAGCACAGTGAAAAAAACTGTAATAAAATAAACAAGGAAAAGTACTTTTTTTCCCATTCATGTACTTACACTCCAGTTTTTTTAAAAGAGCTTTTCACCTGATCATGCCACTTCTTTCTTCTATGCCTCTCTCTTGTTTACACAGTTGTTTTCATTTTCTTACTGTCCATTTCTTTTACAACCTGCCAGAGTCTGGAGGCTCTTCACCCTATCATTCCACTGAACAGCATTTTAATTGGAAGGAATGTACAGATTATCTGGTCCAAACCCATCATTTTAAAAATAAAAAGTCTCAGAAGCTCTAAGTACTGTGGAGAAAGCAAAGATGGTGGGGTCTTAGCGTGCCAGCTCCTACTGACCACTCTTTGCCCCGGGCAGACATCGATAACTGGTTTGTGCTGATCTTCATTCCCAATGAGCCCTAACAGTTCCTCTCAATACAGCTCAGTGGGTAGCCAGTGTCAAACACTGGGCATGGATATAAGATCTGAAATCTTTGCCATCTCTCGCCCATAACCACATGTAAGTCCATGAACACTTAACCAAAAACATTATGTCAAGAGCAGTGACAAGGGGTCCTATTTGATGGGGGAACCAGATGAATGGAATGAATAATAATAGAAAGAGTAAAGGCTTCCCACTATTGAGCTGGGGCTTGCAATGTGAATGGAATTTAAATAGAGAGTGAGAAAAGAGTTCTTTTAGGGGAAACCACAAGAACAAAGGAGGGGGCTGCTCCGAGCCAAGCCTGTAATAGTTGGGTTAGAGCTGATGCTTCAGGTTAGGAAGTGGTGGGAAAGAGGTCGTAAAAATTAATTGAGCAAAGTAATGATTTGACAAAACCATCATTTTAAACAGAACAGTTCATCAGTAATATGCAGAAAGAATTGACAAGGAGAACAATAAAGCACGATAGGAAGCTTTTCTGTTTTCAGGCCTGAGGAGGTAGCAGGCCTATGGGAGTACCAATGGGAAACAAGGTAGAAAAAAGTATCAGGGATGTCATTTAAAAAACAGAATTTGATGACCAGATGGTTTTGGAGAGGCTCTTGGAAGACTATGAAAATAAAAGGGGTCAAGGATATGCCTGAGTGATGGTGCCTTTGAACTAAAGAGTCAGAGTAAAAGGAGGGAGCTGTGGAAGAGAGGTGAACCCTGTTTGGATACGTACAACCTGGAATGGCTCTGGCATCTGTGTTCATCTTGCAAGGAAAATGGAGCAACACCCATTTTTGTTTGACTTGGAACTACCTTAATTTGCTATAAATATCAGAAAATGTCTATGTAGGCTTTTTTTAAAAATTGATTTTTCAGGAGAGGAAGGGGAAGACAGAGAGGTTTGTTATTTCACTTAGTTATTCACTCATTGGTCGGTTCTTACATGTGCCCTGACTGGGGATCAAACCCACAACCTGGCATTTCAGGATGATGCTCTAAACAACTGAGCTACCCAGGCAGAGCCAATGTCCAGGTGGTTTTGTAGTTGAGATTTGGCCTCGTACGTCAAGCTCTATAAAGGTACCACTTTGGTCATGTGGGATCAAGAAATACTCTGCCTTTTGAATCTGATAATTCAGCAAGTTGGTATTGTTTTTTCCTTCTATACAAAATATTTTTTGTTTTTGTTGCCCTTATTTTTGTGGTTTAGACTTCTTTGGCCTTGTTGAGCGAGCTTTTCTTATTTTATCTTTAAGAAAGTTAAATGTGGCATATACAACAAGATTTCTGCAAACACTAACTTGCTTTGTTTTCAAAGGATGCAAGGTGTTATAAACCAGTTGTCCAAGTTACTGAAACCTGGTGGGATGCTGCTATTTCGGGACTATGGGAGATATGATAAGACTCAGCTGCGTTTCCGAAGGGGTAACAGTATATTCTGCTTCAAATCATTGTCATCCATTTTAAAGAATGCCTTATTTATATTTTATGCCAAGATTTTGTTTTTGTTTCTGTAGTTTAAGGACCACTTTCTCTTCTCACAGTTGTTTTTTTTTTCCTTCCAGGGCATTGTTTATCTGAAAATTTTTATGTTCGAGGAGATGGTACCAGAGCCTATTTCTTTACAAAAGGTTTGCTTATCTATAAGAGGAAATAATTAGCTGTAAAAAATCTTTTTGGTTTTGTTTGCAGAAAAAAATTCAAAAGCTCTGAAAATGAGGCTTCAGTAGTTGATTAAATATTAGATGTCTTCACACTTTGGTGGCTACACTGCTCTACATAAAAGCTTGAAAATGGCCTTTTTGCCTTCTAATCTTTTTCCAGTTGAAACTGCTTTAAATAATCACTTGTTCCATCCTTATAACCAAATGAAAAGATAGTCTGTTCCATTCTGGAGGTAGTGTTAGTCCAGATATGAAAAAAAGTTGATGATATGCCACAGCCAAAGGAAGGAATATGATCTTAAGAGTTTGTAGAAAATTACTTAGCTCCTTTTAATTTCTCATTTTAAAAAAGTATTTAACATGAATCTTGCATTCAGAGACTTTCCCCAGGCTTTTGTGAAAACTATTCCAGTGTGTCATTTGGGGTCTCTGCAAACCAACAAAATCTCAAACAAGGGACAACCTTCAAAACATCAGAAGTTGTAACCAATAGTGGTGTATGTCTGTGCCTGGTGTGGTCACCTGTGTACATTTGGTATATTTGTGTGAAGTAGAAGAAACCCACTTGGTTTCACATGTTTCTTCCTTCACCAGTTTACACTGGAGTGTTTGTTAGTGTGAATGAAAGTGAGATGGTCAGTCATTCCATTTACTGTTCTGTGTCCCTGACTGCTCCCCCCTACCCCAGTCACACGTCATACATTTGATTGCTCTTTTTGTCCCACAGGGGAAGTCCACAGTATGTTCTGCAAGGCTGGTTTAGACGAGAAGCAAAATCTGGTTGATCATCGCTTGCAAGTTAATAGGAAAAAACAAGTGAAAATGCACCGAGTGTGGGTTCAAGGCAAATTCCAGAAACCATTACACTTGACTCAAAAAAGCTCCAAATTGGTATTTTCACACCATTATCATAGCTGAGCTATGTACCATGTTAAGGTACAAACCACAGGACTACATGATTCAAAGACTTCCATAAAGTTTTCATTTTTGAAAAGACAATCAGAAGGAGAAAATGTATATATTCTACTGTTTATCGTGGGCGAACTCATGTGTATTCTAAGCACATGTGAGTGATTTGGAAGAGTACACCATATTCTGTTTTCAGAACTGAATATGATCAAGCTTGTTTGGGTTTATGATGTCAGACCATTTTGTTTGTTTGAATTTTGTAAGCATTCAATTAAATTACTGTTATAAGTCAGATGATTCTGAGAAACTATAACCTTTTATTTTTTAGAAGTGGAAAAAATCACCTACTCTATATATTAGTCAAACAACAAAATTTCACTCCCCTCTGGTGTTATCTGGTAGGAGAGAGGCAGCTCACCTTGTTTCTAGGGAAAATCACAAACCCAAGGCAAAGATGTGTTGGTTTTTGTTTTGTTGCCTGTTTTCCCCAAAACTTTTTTTTAATTCAGAAACTAATGTCTGAAATAGAATTTTAGTTTCTCTTTCCTTTTCTAATATTGGGGAAGTAGTACCCATGCTAACATTATTTGCAGATTATTAGGTGTACAGGTCCTTGTAAATTCTACATAAGACAACTGTTATACCCATGAAAAACTTTCAATTGTAGCAATTAAAAATTTATTTACCACCCTGCCTCAGAAAGGATATAAATTGGCTTACATGTTGCACATTATTAGAATGGAGTTTCTAAAATTGGTTTTCCATTTGTTACTAAGTACTTACATTGTGCTGAGTCTTGCGGAATAATACGGTGAACACAGACAGACCCAGCCCTGTCTTCAGAGGTCACAGTATAAATAGTATCTAGCTGGCAAAAGAAAATGTACACATCCCAAGCCTCTAAATCAATATTTAAGATAATATATGAACAAGTATTCAAATGCGGAGCTTAACAACTAGTGGACATTGATTATGAGTGACAGAAATCTGGAAGAAATGGGCACTCAAATAATTCAGTTCCCACTCTTGTTCCTTTTTTGAATTTACTTAAAATTTAACTTCCTGGAAGAATGTGATTGGTCCAACTTAGGTCATGGATTATCTCTTAACAGGCTGGGGCAGAGCAGCTTAATTGTTGGTACCACCACAATGTATAGAATGGAGGAAAGTTCCTCAAAGGAAAATTAAGACACTGTTATTCAAAAAAGGGAGGCATGCTGCCCAGCCACAAACAACACATCACATGGTGGTGGTCCCAGTAGTAACAGTGGTTCTGAGAAGAGAAGGACCTCTGTGGGAAGGACGGGGGAAGAACCAGGGCTCTGGGAGGGGCAGGTCCCAGGCTGGTCCCTGAACGTACTCTCTCAGATGGTTAGAAAACACTTGTATTCAGTGTAGGACACTCATGGTGAAGAATGGTGGGGAAAAAATGGGGAGGGGCTCAGCCCATTATAGAAAGACTGGAATACAGGACACGTTGGGTTCTAATCTCCAGACTGAGCCATCTGAGGTTTGTTGGTTTCTCTTTTATCCAAGTCATAACATGTCATCAGTGTATTTAGAGCAATCAAGTGAGGGGTCATCTGTGGGATGGAAAGCAGTGAGGCAGGAGCAAGGAAGACCGCATAAAGGTTTTTGAGCCCAGTTACTTGGTAGCAAGTCTTCACAAGTACAATATCAAGGTTTGTTTAAACATGCATCAGTCAGTAAACATAAAACTTAAAAATTTGCCTGAGACTCTTAATTCAGTTGTACTTCATAAGTAAAAAGTACATTTAAAAGCCAAACTAGTGATGAAAGTATTACATACCGCAAGGGCAGTTAGATAAGTTAATGTTGCTATGGGAACCTCAGGAGATCTTCTCGTGTCTCAATTTAAAAATCATGGCCCAAGGTGGTTTTAAAAACAACAGAAGGTAAAATTATTCTCACATCCTCACACATGTAAATTGTACTGTCTCTCTTAGTCCTAAATAGCAGATTCAAGCCAGCCTCTTGACTGGCACAGTAAAATTCATCTTCGCCTCTTTCTATAGTGTATTACAGCATGTAGTTAACCTTTAGAAACTTCAAAAATACATCCACCAAATTTGGACTGTGAGACATAAACTGTCCTCTTTTGGGCTCTGTCTAGTGAAGACCTGTTCCCCACAGCTGCTCGGCAGGGCCATTTCTACCAGCGTCTGAAGCTTGATGGTCAGTCTGTCTCTGCATTAGCTGACCTGAATCAAACCCCACCTCCCCCACCCCCACCAGCTTCGAGTTTGCTGCTAGACAAAATGTAGATTTTCGGCAGAGGGGAAAAAAAAAGAGAAAGACCTGGTTTGCAATATTGTCTATAGGTATTAAGATACCATGAAGTGTTGCGAATATATGTACTTGGATATTAATTTTAAATATTTGACAATTGCATGTAATTCTAATTCCTCCCTTGTGTCCATAAAGCTAGGACTAGTGAGCTAGGCAGTGTTTGATATTTTAAAATTCATCTTCCGAGGGAGCTAGATGTTAAACGGACCATTTTCTTTCTAACAGAAAAAGATATTTTCCTTCATCTTCTTAGAATACAGAAACAATGAAATATGCTATATTAAAAAATGCACCTTCATTTTTTTCCATTTCTAAAAACTCACTTTTGAGCATTTTCCAAATGTAAAAATCCTCACACACAGGAAGAACTGTTTGAGAAGGTTGTGAGAAAAGCCAAGGTAACAGTTTCTATTTATAAAAGTTTTGCATGCAGCATGACACATTTGTCGTACTGAAACACCCAGTTAATGTGGATTTCTGAGAACTTATTTGCTCTTTGTTTCAGTTCCATTTGCTTTTGTCTCTAAATTATGAACACACTGAAGCTTCTACCATTATGCAATCTAAATTGTTGCTATACTCTACTTTATAAGTGAAAATTCACCCATATGCAAAAAGCTGCCCCCTTGGACATCGAACCATTTGGATGGTTAAACTTCAGGTATTTTAAATTCTTGGCCCCAAAATTCCTATGCTATATTTCTATGGTCTTCTGATTTGCCAAAGCCAAGTTCCCAAGCTGGAACGTATCTTGCATTGTTACTTCTAGTTGGTTTTAATGTTTACTGTGCTGCTCACCAGTGCAAATCACTTCCATTTGCATCCCTAGTAGACCTTGCAGAACCCCTGCCCCTCTGCTTCCTGCCTTGGTTAGTCGTCAGTACAGTGTTGGCTCGGGTATTTTTCTGGACTTGTGAAAGTGCGTTGTCAATTCTAAAGCACTGAATATATGTGAGGTGTTGTTATTAATAAAAACATTTACAGTCTGCAGGCAGCAAGCTGAGGACTCCAGCAATAGGGACTTTTTCAATGGTTTTAAGAGACCTTGTGGGAAAGTCAGTAAGGTGCTGCGGAAGAGTATGGTCTGGCGACAGACGGGAAGCGTGGGTCCTGGGCCTATTGAAAGACTTAGCTACCCTCCGTTTAGCTCTGCCCGCCAAGTTTTTTATGTGCTACAGTTTTATTTACTTCATGTAATCCTTGCAGTTCTGTGAATTAGTTTTTATTATGACTAACATTTGAGACTGAGATGCTGGCTAGATTCTGGGGACAGCTATACTTTGTCCTCAAACCTGATTCCAAAACCTCTGCTCTCATCAGTGCACTTTTTTAAAATATATTTTTTTATTTTCTGAAGTTGCATTTAAAAAAATTTTTGAATGCATCTTATTGTGTTTTTCTATTACCACGTGTCCCTTGTACACCATCCCCCTCCCTCCGCCCTGTCATCCGTGCACTTTTAATTGAAAGGCTCGAGCACGCTGCTCAGAAAGCTGCTGCAGAAGAGAGTTCCTGGGTAAAATGGGGAATTGTGATGAATGGGAATTTGGATCAGACAGCCTTCAAGGTTACTGTGGCTCATTCCAGATCCAGTGGTCTATGAAATAAGTAGGCTGCACCTGTCCCCAGTAACAAACTGGGAAGGAAGAGAAGAAAAGGAACTGGGAGGAATGATGAAGCACATTCTTTCTATTCATTCTTTTCAGCATTCTGTCTAATTCTGCTCTCACCCCACCCACTTCAGCCTTCAGCCTTCAGCCTTGCACTTGGCTTTCTTCTGAGTAAGCAAAGCACCCAATACTTGCATACTCCTCACTTAAAGGAAAAATTAGTCCACACAGCAAGGGGGGAAAGGCCTTCAAAGGGACTCAGCTCTAGCCTAATCTAATATAGAGGAATTCAGAGTGTCAATAATAAAATACAAGCAAAAACATCTTTGTTTAAAACATTGTATGTACTTCAGTGTCAATTCGAGCATGAAATATTGAGCATTTCTTAGAATATGGTTTGGGATTTGAGAGACACAAAGGTACTAGCAGGATAGCTTTGGTGTAGTTATAAATATGAATAGAAATAAAATAACAGTTGCATCTTCATTTATAATGAATCGATATTGTGGCCTCAAAGCTACAGAGAAGAATGGATGCCAAAATCTGTCATGTCTTAAGTGACAGGGAAGAGTCTTGGAGACAAAATTTCTTTTTCCTCTGAGTATGAATCAGCAACATGCAATAACAAGCAAGTAATAATAGCTCTGCTGTGAGTGCCCACAGAGGGTAAGAAAAACAGCACGGAACTGAAAAGGCAAGCGCACCTGCAGCAGGGGCCCAGGCTGCTGCGGAGCACGCTCCCGGGAGTACCGTCCTGAAATGTCTCAGAGCACGGCGACCCGGGCTCTGGCAAGCCAGGTTGGCATGAGATTGATGGAGCCTATTAAAACCTCCAGATGGTGGAAGAGAGCCCACCCTCCACTGCCTCTGCAACTCGTCAGATACAGCTACAAGGTACCACTACTTGTCCAAGAGTGTGAACAGCTGCTTGGATTCTACAGCACATGAGGTTTCACAACCACTTAACCTTTAGCAAGGAGTAGCTAGAGGCAGGTGAATGAGTAAATACACGTTAACACTATTTTCTTCTACCCTTCTAAGTCCTTGGCTAAGACATCTTTGTATTAAAAGATAGATGAGCAGTAGAAAAACAAAAGTTTAATACCATGTATACCTCTTCTGTACATGGGAGAGACCCCAGGTAAACTGGGTAACTCCCCAGAATGGCCAAGCCATCACCTTAGATGCCACCTGCGGCTGAGAACAAAAGATGTTTGGGTTGGGGAGCCAGTTCAGGGAGGTAACCAGGAAAAGCACAGTAAACAAGGGCAAGGTTGTTAGGCAGAGTTCTTGCCTTCTCCATTGAAAGCGTTTCTAGAGATTTAGAGTCATCCTTCCCTTTCTGTTACTGAGAGGGAGACAGTGTTACAAATGGATATTCGCTTTG